TGATCCTGGGTCCTGGGATTGATTCCCACATTGGGTTCCCTGCATGGAGCCTGCTTCTTCCTCTGCCTGTGTCTCTGCCTCTGTGTTTCTCATGAATAAATACATAAAATCTTTAAAAAAAAAAAAAAAAACTTTTTTACACCCTCTTTTCACAGCCAGAGTTGAGGTTACACACTTTCTTCTTGCTTCTTAAGCACACTTTCTTACTGTCAGTACCTAGCCAACATCTTAGCATACTGAAGGCAATCAGTTCACTGAATTTAACCTTAAATTTCCCAGGCCTTTGGTAAATGTGAATTCCTTGCACTTTGGGTTAGGAAACAAGACAATGTGAGACATTATTTTAACATGACTGTGGGCAAGCTGTCGGGGAAAAACAATGCCATAGAAAGATAATCAGAACTGCAGCCTATACCAATTGGAGGAAGGCCAGCGAAATACAGCTTCAGTAAATCTTGCCTCTGAGGAGGTGGAAGATTAGAGAAAAAACAAGATCTAACATTAAAATACCTATGTTCCAGGCACTGTGCCCACTTCATTCACATATACTTTCTGACCTAAGGGAATTCGAGATTGAAAGCTGGACATTAATATCCCCATTCGGAAGATCAGGAGACTGTAACTCAAAAGGGTTAAGGAAACTTCACCTCAGGTGACGCGGTCCACGACTGCCCTAGGCACCTGCCCTAGGCACCATCCGTGCAACCAACTACTGTTCTCTGAGAGGACAATGACCTTGCTTTGTTACTGGCTCAGTTCATTGTGACAAGTGTCCTGACATATTTTCACTTGGTTCTGCCCTCCTGGCCTTCCCAAAACACGTAGAAATAACACTATCTCTTTCAGGTCTATACGGTTTAGCTTTCAAAGCCTTTCCCATCTATAAGGGTAACAGTCTTTTTACTATGAGGAGGGACAGGGCCTTTTAGGCCCATTACACTCAGAGAGGATAATGCCAGAGGAGTTCAAAGAACTGGCTAGTTTTCCTGGTCCTCCAATCTAGGTTTTTGTTTTGTTTCATTCACAAGACCTCGAAAACATTCTAGAGAAGACACTGCTACCCTGGCCAGTTTTAGAATCATCTACTACATGTCTTAAGTCCTTTCTTTTTTTTTTTTTTTTTTTTTTAAACTTTATTTTTTTTTTTATTTTTATTTATGATAGTCACAGAGAGAGAGAGAGAGAGAGAGGCAGAGACACAGGCAGAGGGAGAAGCAGGCTCCATGCACCGGGAGCCTGACGTGGGATTCAATCCCGGGTCTCCAAGATTGTGCCCTGGGCCAAAGGCAGGCGCTAAACCACTGCACCACCCAGGGTTCCCTTAAGTCCTTTCTTTTAAGGCTAGCTAGTCCTCAGTTAAGACTGTGGGTGGCCCCAAGAATGTCATGTGTGGCTCTTAAAGCAGGGGAATGAAACTTAATAAACTGTACTGATGCTAAAAGTAATAAAAAAAAAAAACATAAATTACATTGCCATATGGAGATACAAGGAATCCTCAATCATTAATGGAGAAGGAAATGGTTTTCTATATAGGCCTTTGGCAAGGACAAAGAAGGTATGGCAGGCTAAAAACCCCAAACTGCTAACTGTTCCAAGTTGAAAAGCTAAGGCATATGCAGATCAAGACCATGGTGCAGGCATATATATAAAAAGACACACACATGTTTGTGTATTCTGATGGCAAAACAGCACACACACATATATATATGTGTGTCTATTAATTTTCTTACACTGGGTTGCTCTGACCAGAAAAGTTGAGGATTTGCACTCTACTAGGCCAGTGATTTAAATAATCATTTTCTATGTGGCCTTTGCAAACAAGAAATTATTAAACCAGCAATGTATACAACACTTGTTTCCTTCCTTTAACAAGCAGTGGCTACTACCTGCAGAAACTGCCCTAAGCACTTGGGATTTGGCAATAAATTGACTAATTTATTAAAATATCTCCTGGAATTTCTATTTTAGTGGGGCAGACAAAAAAGAAAAAAATAGAGGTGTGATAGGTTGTGGGCGTTATTTCAGAGAATACAATATCTACATTGTCACAGGATTATTGTGAGGATCAACTGAGAAGGAATAGTTTGAAAACTGTCAGGCTTTACATAAGTATCATTAATCCTATAAAGCATTTGCTCCAACCTCTCTACTGGTCAGTCAACATTTGTGATACTATTCATTTAAAAAATCAACAAGTGTTTGATAGGAAGAGAATGAAAATACATCATTAATTTTAATTCGTGAACCGACCGATATCCTATTTCAATGAGCTATTTCATGGTATCAAGACTTTCCAGGAGCCCACAAACCACACTATAAGCAAGGTTGATCAAAAGAAACTGAAACAGCAAGGTTGGTTAGGAGCTGAAAAAGCAGGAGACCAGCAAATACAGGACTCTCAAGACTAGCTATGGAATGAGAAAGGTCATAGATAGAATAAGCCTCGGAAAACGAGAAAAATGCATCCAGAGTCTGGAAATCTACCCAGAAAAGACCTTCTCCAGCAAAATTATGATCAATGTGTAACACAAGAGGTACAAGTCAGCTCATTTTAAGCACTTTCAGCTCATTTACACTTTGACATAAGGTGCTCCTTCACACACAGAACACAAGGCACTCAGGGTAAATTAAATACCATTTATTGCAAGCAGAACCTTCCTAACAAATGAGACAAATGGCCCAAGAACAGATTTTGGAGGAAAACACGGCTTTCAACCAGTAACAAAGTAAATGGAATTGGAACCAGGCTTTATTTCCTCCTCTTCATCAAGGCTCTGACATGCTGTCTGGACATCTCCCTCCTTGATGTGTATTTCTCTGCTGACTTTATATGGTTAGAGTTTAGTCTTGTGGGCCAGGGATAGGGGGTCGTGGAAGTGGCAGCACTACCATAAAAAAGGGCATTCTTTTTACTTTGGTATAGGTATTTAAACAACACAAAATCATTAGCAACTTTTGGGGGTGCCTGGCTGGCTCAGTTGGCAGAGCCTGGGACTCTTGATTGCAGGCTGTTAAGTACAAGCCCCACATTGGATGTGTACAGATTATTTAAAAATAAAATCTTTTTTTAAAAAACTTATTTTTTTTAAAGATTTTATTTATTTATTCATGAGAGACACAGAGAGAGAGTCAGAGACATAGGCAGAGGGAGAAGCAGGCTCCATGCAGGGAGCCTGATGTGGGACTTGATCCTGGGTCTCCAGGATCAGGCCCTGGGCTGAAGGTGGTGCTGAACCCCTGACCCACCTGGGCTGCCCTATTTTACTTCTTAAAAAACTAAGAACTTTTAAAAACTTGCTACTCAAAGTGTGGTCCATGTACCAGCAGCCATAGCATATTCTCAGGCCCACCCAGACCTACTGAATTAACCTCTAGGGGTAGGACCCAAGGAGCCGTGTCTTAAAAGTAACTGTCACAGATGATTCTTGTACTTGCTAAAGCATTAAGTAGTGCTGTAACACAAATGCACTAGCTCTTAAGTGTATCAGTATGGTTAATAAGAAAAATCTGTTACTTTTCCTACATAAGACTTCATTGTTTTAGTGTGAAGGTCATTCTGTTCTACCACCCGGTATTATTAGCCTTCATTTTACACGTATAAATATAAACTGCCATTTTACATTTTACGTGGGCAGCCCTGGTGGCTCAGCGGTTTAGCACCACCTTCAGCCTGGGCTGTGATCCTGGAGACCCGGGATCAAGTCCCATGTCGGGTTCCCTGCATGGAGCCTGCTTCTCCCTCTGCCCCTCTCTCTCTGTCTGCCATGAATAAATAAAATCTTAAAAAAAAAAAAAATATATATATATATATATATATATGACACGTATGCACCTTACCTCCCATGTGCCAAGAACCAGTAAATCAGCAAAATAAAAGATGAACAGCCTAAATACATGCTATAAATAGGGATTTATAATTATATCAAAAAATACTAATATTCAGAATTATCTCATCCTGTAAAAAGATAATACACATTAGCCAGAGGCAAAGCCAGTCTACATTTTAGAATAATTTCTAGCATACTTTGTGTATAGCATGTGCACACATGCACACACACACATACTTCTGGCCTTTAAGGATCTAAGTGTATGTAAAATGTGGCCACATGGACTCCCTAAAATCACAGATCCAAGGCTTTACTTTTATTTCCTTGAAGACAACCATTCATTCAAAACTGAAATACTTCTCAGCATTTCAAAACTGGCAGAAAATCAGCTACTATCACCATGAAAACAGACTTTGCTCTCTGCACCAGATTCCAAAACTGAGGAATTCCCAACCACACCAGTTAGACACCTGCCTACTTATTCATGAAGAATCAGAGGACATTTATCAAATATGTGCTAATAACCAATTAAGAAATATTTTATATTCGAGTAGAACTAACCCAGTTTATTGGTTTCAGATGTAGGATGTACTGATTCAACAATTGTTAGTGCTAACCAATTTATTAAACACATTAGAACTTGGAAATACACTTCAATACACACCAAATAAACAGATTAATGAAACTTTTTTTTTTTCCAAAGGGAATAAACTACCTCACTTATTCACTATTTTTTTTAAAAGGCACAGGTGGACAGTTTTCACCTCACATTCCAATATTAGTGAATTAATTCTTCGCATAATTCAGAACTCTAATGTTTATGACTGTGGACCAACTGGTCTGAAGAGGACCTTGCAATCTGAAGTTTTAACTGTTATTTCCAAGAAGCTGCTTCATGTAGCACCTAAACTTCTGGAGCTCTGTTTGTATTTTGAGTGCTTAAGGACAAAACTCCTACCTACCCTCAACTCTTTCATTACCTTTATCATCCTTTACCTGCTGTTTCTTCTGCCATGATAAGAAAATGTTTATCTGAGAGAAATGGACTCAGAAAGTGCTGTACTTCGTTTTAATTTCTCTGATAAAGTAAAATATGAAGGATGGAAGGAAGGAGAGTTAATAAGGGAAGGAGGGAAAACAACCCATTATTTCCTATCAAATCTGATAAATATCTATGATGGAAAAAAGTAAGTTTATTTTGAAATTATTTTAATTTACAAATACAAAACATCTTGGAAGACAAAAAAAAACATCAAAGAAAAACACAAAACATGTTAGGCACATTTTTACTTCATGAGCTTCTCGTATCAATTATTCACCAATCCCCAAGATGAAAGACTCTTTTAAAAAGGTATTCAGCCTCCACTGTAAAAGAAAGAAAACATTCCATTTGAGTGTATAGAACATTTTAGTAATAATAATAATTTGAAATGCAATACGCTAGAATTTCATGGAGCAAAAAAATCTGTTATTTGAGAACCCCAAAAGAGCATAAAGGAGAAGAAATGATACTTTAAAATCTCGGCATGGAAAAGGTCCTTAGAGATGACGTGGCTTCTGCACAGGCTTATCTTAAAAACTCAGAATCCTCTTTTGGGAAAGGTATTTAACAGTCTAAGACTTGTTTAAGAGTCTTGTCTTTCTGAACAAGGTAGAATATATGAATTACAAGTAGTTAGCTAGTGAGTTTTTCAATTTGATATGCAATGAGCCAGTTGAAAATAAAGAATAAAACTTCCCACAATCACTAAAAGACAGAGGTTTAATCATAATGAAAACAAAAATCACCTTTTCTATAGAACCTCTTAAGTCTTAAAAGCATAAAAACTATATTGGTATGCTGAGATATACATTTTAGGTCTGTTTAGTAATTTTTTTCTTTAAAGTAGGCTCACACCCAATATGGGGCTTGAACTCACAACCCTTAAGAGGAAGGACGGCACAGTCTACTGAGCCAGCGATACCCAGTAATACCAGCCAGTAATACCCCTAGTATTACTCAGTAATGTTAAACAAAGAAAAATAACTCTATTATTAGATGAAAGTAATACTCCTGAAATACTCTGAATATATGCTTTAATGCTAAGTATTTTTAGTATTATTAAATTGTATTGCTATAACCTAAATATCCTCAACTATATGTCCTTTAAATTATCGTTCTATAGCTATTCCTTTGGACTGCTACAATTGTATAGAAGTGGGAAAAACTTTTATCATAAGGAAAATAAAAAGTGCTAATTCAGCCTAATGAAAAGAAGCTTATGCTTATATTTCATTTGCTATCATCCCAAAATAATTTAAGTAGTGGTTTATACTCTTTTCAAACAGGAAGAAAAGATCTTTTGGTTTTAAAGATGTTGAAGAGAGTCATGAGAAGAGTAAGTTTTGATAGCTTTTTTCAAATAATATCTATTTGGCCTTCATGTTAATGTAAAAACTATCTAAAGGTAGACTTTTAACCCTATAAACGTTGAGAAACATTTTACTAGAAGACAAGTTTTCTAAGTAACTAGCTATTGAACAATCTCTGATTAGTAAAATTGGTAAAAGATACTGTGCATTGGGACACCTGGGTGGCTCAGTGGTTGAATGTCTGTCTGGGAATCGAGTCCCGCACTGGGCTCCCCACAGGGAGCCTGCTTCTCCCTCTGCCTAATCTCTGCCCCTCTCTGTGTGTCTCATGAATAAATAAGTAAAATCTTAAAAAAATAAAAAAAGATATTGTGTGTTTGCTGTGGAAAGAATTAAAAGAAAGGAAATTATTAATACTTGTTTCAAAACCCTGTTGGGAACAACCAGACAGACTAATCTCAATCCAAAAAGGGGACACTAAGAGTGCCTGTCCTGAACAGTACTTTAGGCCACAACTTAAACAATGAATTAAAAGATTTTCTAGTACAAAAGTAGGATAAATAACAATGTTGGACAGATTAAAAACTCAAAAGACTTCCCTAAGGGAATCTAGGAAAAAGGAATTTAACGAGGATAATGTTCCATTCTTAAGCTAAAAACAAACCACCCCAACTGTTTAAACCCAGGATAAAGGAAATTTATTGTAGCAGTTATTTGTGAGAAACTGTCTGAGGATTTTAGCCGTTAGCAAGAAAACATCTGTAGAAAGCATTCAATTCTAAATACTGGATTTTAAGAAGACTGATGAAATGCAAACTGGAGTATAAAGTAAGGAATGTGACTCAGAATGAGGAGTGTTCAACTGAGCCAGAATGAGAGATGTCTCTTAATAATGGTTAAAAATACAGTCTCCGGAGTCAGTCGGCCTGGGTTTTATACGCTGCTCTACTGCTTACCAGAGGTAAGTAATATGTACTTTCCATCCCTGTTTCTTCATCTATAAGAATGAAGAAACTACTTCAATTACTACTAAAATAGTTGTGTTAACCTCACAGAAGCATCATGAGGATTAAAGGAGTTGACTGAAGTACGAACAGTCCCTGGCACACAGTAAGTGCCCAATAAATGTTAGAAACTATTACTATCACCATGACCATCAGAAAAAGATAAAGAACCTTATGTTTTTCATTTAATTCAACAAATACGTATTCACTGCTTTTCATGGGTACAAGAAAGGGTACATTGGACTAGGTTCAGCAGTACACACTCTACAGAAAATACATATACACGTATATATTCCCGCGTATTAATATTTTGTATACATATTAACACTGTGGGTGTTTGTAAACTATCTACAACAGGACTGGCTCAGACCCCACAGTCTAGTGAGTAGAGGCCCTATCAATGACTCAAGGCATACAGTAATGTCCAGCCAGAGAGTTAAAAATACAGTATCTCAGAATTGCTACAAAGATTATAGAACATATAAAACCACTCCTAATTATCAGGTACTCATAAATACCAGTAGAACTCTAGCAGCATTGAAAACTAAGACGACCTATCTATGTATTAACAAAACAGTAGGCTATCAACTCAACGGATTTCCACCTTTTTAAAAGACTTACTGGGGGGAGAGAGGAGAGAGAGAGAGTGCACGAGCCCACGCACATGTGAGCAGGGGATAGGGCAGCAGGAGGAGGGAGAGAGAATCTCCAGCAAATTCCCCGAAAGGAGCCTAATTCAGAACCTGACTCGAAGTTCGATCCCATGACCCTGAGATCATGACCTGAGCTGAAATCAAGAGTCAGATGCTTAACCAACTGAGCCACCCAGGAGCCCCTTCAATTTTTATTCTAGCCTAGATATTGTCTATTTCAAAAAGTTTACTTACACAATGATGTTATTAATAGGGATATGGATCAATTTCACAAAAAAGCCAATGAATCCCATTATAGCAAATCCTATTGCTGTTGCCATGGCAATCTTCTGGAATTCTGGATTTAAAAACACAAAATTTAGATTATTTTTTGCATTGTCACTGCAAGTATAGCAGAGAAAACTAACAATGATGTAAATAAACTTACTGGTGTACATTTCTCCTGATAGTAAATATATCATTTGAAACTAAACATGATATAAACAAATAAACTCCTCGACAGATTTTGAAATTTTCGTTATTTTACTGATGTTTAAGGAATCTAAGTGTCTGCTCATGCTAGTGAATCCACCAATAAGCAGCAAAATATTGTATCTTCTTAGCAAATGAACCAAATACCAAAAAGTAAAATATGAATAAAAGAAATGCACAGTATGTTTTAAAAGTTGTTATACATTAGAAGTATTAATTATAAAACCACAGAACATGACTTTTTAAAATAAACAATAGGTCTGTTGTCTTTGATATCATAATGAAGCCAGAAATAAAGCCTGAGAAACCAAAGTAGGCTGGTCACAATCTTATGTAACAGTTTCAGGCCCTAGTAATGCTTCCATTTAATCTATTTCCTCAGGGAAGCTTCCCCCTGCCCTCCGGACTCGGTTAGTCTTATTATGTGCCGTCCAAACTCCCATTTCTCTTCTATAGTAATTACCACAGCTGTAATTAAAGCGATAATTGCCATTATTCATTCATGACTGTCTTCCCTCAAAGAGTCTAAACTACCCAAGAACGATTAATCCAAGAGGATTACATATTTTTATATGTTATGCTGTATGTATATTTTCTATTACATCCCCAGCTCCTAACTCAGGCAGTACTCAAACAAATAAAGGTAAATTCTAGTGCACCTTGTAACAGATGAATCACGACAAATGAAGACTTTTTAACTTCCTAGGTTAGCAATACCTATAGTCTTAATTTCATGTTAAGGTTTTTGTTGGGGGGAGGGGCTGAGAGGGGGCCAGTGGCAGGGCAGGGAGGACTCCCAAAAGATTTTCCAGAATGGAAACGTGGAAGATACTAGAAGCTCTGAAGCCGTTTAACTACGACTAAGACAGGCCTAACATGGAAAATAAGACTGTAATATTCTTTCACAATTTGAAAATACCTAAAACAGAAAAATCTGTAACATGTAAAAAAGTGTGTAAAATTTAGGGAGTACTTAAAAAGCAACAAAGGAAAACAAACACAAATCATTAAAAATGTCGAAAATAGTGCAACAGTCATTAAACAGGAAGATATTAATCAAAGACTAAAAAAAAAAAAATGCAAAGATTTCATCTTTTCTCCCCCCTTTTCTTTTCTCCCAATTTAAAGCTATTACCTTTTCGATCAGGTTTAGTGCATCTTTTAACCAGCCGAATGGAGTCCTTCACAAACTGCCGGCTTGGCTCAACGAACTGCATTACCTGATCCATGATGCCTATTTAAAAAAAAAAAAAAAGAGTAAAAAGATACTCACTGGTACTATTTATCGTAAAGAAGTACTTGCTCAGTTACATCAAAATGACTTCATGCCGGAGACGAGTCCATTCCATTTCATAAAATTAAATTTAAAAAAATACCGATTTCAAGCCTAAACCTGGGAAACATCAGACTGAAGGCAATAAGGCAAAAAGAAAACCCAGCACAGGTCTCACCTACGCCTTCATCAGGGTGGAGGACACCTGCTGCTCACACAGGAGGTCAGTCAACAAGACATCCCTTCCTCACCCACTCTGCAGTCTCGCATCCTCCCGCTGGGAACCCGACAACGCTGGGATCCAGCAAACACTTCCTGTATTTCACGTTAGACTCTCAGAAACCAGGGCCGAGGGCAGGGAAGGCCTGACTATGGAGCCACAGGCGTCTGGACTGGAGGCAAACGTGGGTCTCGATCTGATTGTTCGAGACCGTGGCCACACCACACCTTTAGAAGAGACCGTGTTCGTGCGGAATAGGTCCTGGGTCCCCAAACCACGACGATGGGCTAAACCAAGATCCAGATTCGGAGAAGCTATTACCTGCACTGCCAACCTGTAGGCGGGACACCCCTCCTAAGTTCTTCGGGGCCGCCTACCACGCAACGGAAACGCCACCCAAGCTCGGCTTCAGAGCCACCGCCTGGGGGGGAACAAGGCCAATTTACTACCGGCACCCCACCCTCTCTCTACCCTCTCTCTCTCGTGCTTAGGCGCGGGCCAGGTGCTTACGGAGGTTCCCTAAGTCCCTTAAATCAACCAACGACAGCCGCTGTCCAGGGCAGCTGCGGCTCCAAAGCCGCGTCCGGGAACACAGACGCTCCAAGCCGCGGCGCCCGCGCCCAGGTGGGCAGCTGGAACGGAATCCCGGAAACCTGCGCCGAGCACACCAGGTCCCCCGAAAACATAGGTAGGCCTGGTTTCTCTTCTTCTTCTTTTTTTAAGATTTTATTTATTCATGAGAAACAGAGAGAGAGAGAGAGAGAGAGAGAGAGCCCGACGCAGGACTCGATCCCGGGTCTCCACGGTCCCGCCCTGGGCTGCAGGCGGCGCTAACCGCTGAGCGCCCCGGGATGCCCACGCCTGGTTTCTTAACATTTCACTCAACTTTGTCCTTCAAATCCGATTACGCTGCAGTGTCCGCACCCAGGTGGGCAGCGGGCATCAAATTCCGCAAACATTCTGCGCCAACTACAGGAGGTCCCTCCGAAAACACACGTGGGCCTGCCTGCCTTCTCGCTTTTTTTAGGACTTTATTTATTCCTGAGACACCCACAGAGAGACAGAGACAGAGAGAGGCAGAGACACACAGAGAGACACACAGACCCAGGCGGAGGAGCAGGCTCCACGTCGGGAGCCCGTCGCGGGGCTCGTTCCCGACGCCCCGGGGTCACGCCCTGGGCCACCGGGCTGCCCAACCTGGTTTCCTAATATTTCGCTCAGCTTTGTCCTTCCAATCCAGTGCGCTTGAACTCGGTGGAGGCTGTGAGGAGGGCGAAGGGCTCTTTCCTGGGGGCAGGGGGGGGGGAGACAACCCAGAGCCGCGGCCTCGCCCACTCCCCACAGCGCGCTGGACGCCCCCCCCCCGTCAGGCCCACACCGAGCGCCCACGTCGGCCCCCGCTGGGCACAGCCCTCCCTTCCCCTCCCCGCCGAGCCCACCCCGGAGGGCGCGGCCCCCGGGCGGCCGGGGCGAGCCGCCGGGACCCTGAGCGCTGGGGGGCCGGAGCCCATCGGAGCCACCGCCGCCGGGACCTGGCCTCCACGCAAGCCCCCGCGGGAGCAGGACCGTGGGCAGCCGCGAGCGCCGGACTCGCCTCAGACCCGAGCCGGGGGGACGGGGGGGGCCTTCCGACCGCCCGCCCCTCAGCCTCCCGGCGACGCCCGCCGCCCTCAGGGGGACCCAACTCACCTGCCGCCGCCCCCTCACCCGCCAGCGACACGTAGCACAAAAGCTGACGACCGAGGACTACCGGAACCGGAACCGGAAACCGCGTCTCCGGCCTCTAGCCCGCCCACCCACCCGCCGCTCATTGGTCCCTTACGCGGAGACATCAGTGCGCAGGCGCAGCTCCGAGCACGCCTCGGACACGCCTCCCGGAAGAGGCGGCCTGCGGTGCGCGATGACGTGCGCGCCCCGCGGTTTGGCCGTCCTGGGCGCCTGCGTGGGGCGGCTAACGCGTCCTTCCCCGGCGGCGTCCCCGGAGCCCTGACGTCACGGCGTTCGCGGCCGGAGCCCCGCGGCCTTGCGCGGCACGTGCTCTGCAGACGCGAGCGAGGCCGGTGGAGGCCGGTGGAGGCGAGGCCGGTGGCTGCGATGCACGGGACGGGTCCCGACTCCGCTGCCGGTTCGGGTCGCGCGTCTCCTGCCCGCCCGCCCTGTTTATATGCCTTCGATTGATTTATTGATCCAAGTGAAGCTCGCAAGCAGCATGACCACGTGACGGCCGACCTAGCCCCAAAGTCCCCAGCCCCCCAGCCCGGCCGCCCTTTGGGATCAGTCTGGGGACGACGTCCAGAATGGGGTCCACCCCTAGGTCTCCTCTGCGTCTGGTTTGCAGACGTGCTTATAACGGGTACATGTTACCTGTTTTGCTGAAAATACTATGAACGCAGGCCGTGATCTCTTGGGTTGTGGGACGTAGCCCTGGTCTGGCTCCCTGCTCGGTGGGGAGTCGGCTTGAGATTTTCTCCCCACCTCCCAGGCCCCTTTTTTAAAATCAATCAATAAATATTAATTTGAGAAGAAAAAAAAAAAGCTCAACTAGGAGATTTTAGGAGTTTCTACAAATGAGGATTCTGGCACCTCTCTGACCTCAATTTCTACAACTGAGGATTCTTGCACCTCTCTGACCTCTCTGACCTCAAGACCCTGTCTGCTGCTCCCGGGTCATTATATTTCTTTCCCAGGCATCCAGGTGCCATTACCCTGCTCCATGGTTAGGATAAGAGCAGAAATAGCAAGCACAGGCTTTGAAAACGGTTTTTTACTCTGCTTCACTTGGCACACACCTTGTGGTCAAATGTCATGAAACAAGTATTTACAGGCTCCAGTATTTTTGCTTTGATGTGAGACTAAAACCATAATCCTGCATCTTCATATTTGGAAAGCCCAGGATCTTACCTACAAAGAAAGTGCTGCCCGTCATGCTAACATGCGTGTAACAGACCCCTGAGCATCCTCGAGGACCACATTGAACCAACATGTCTTTGGTATTTAGGTGAGTATATATTTGTATAACCACACGCAAGTGATGAGAATTTCTCCTTCAATTCAGAACTTCTGGACGTTGATTTTGGAAGTGACAAATATATACAGTGGCCAGAGCCATGGAAGTGGTAAATGGAACTTGACAATTGCAGTATTCTTTATATTTCTCATGAAGTAGTATAGTACTAAGACTATGTAATAATGAAACCACTAAAAATAAATAGATAATTGCAAAGTGATAGAGCTGAAAAAACAATCATGCATTAGACTGGCATTCAAGGAAATGATGCATTTCACCCAAAAGGAAGCAGGAAAGGAGGAACAGAGAAAAGCAAAGAAAGCAATCCAGTAAAAAATAAATAAATAAAAACAAACAAACAAAACAAAACAAAAAACCCACCCAAATAATAAAACAGGAGAACTAAATATAATAATATTTATATTTGTAATACATCTAAATGTAATTTGTATGTTTAAAAATTCCCCTTAAAAAAACAAGTCAAAGTGGATTTAAAACCCAAAGATTTGGCTATATGCTAATGGCATGGGTGTACTCTAAATATAAAGACATAGGTTGCAAGTAAATAGATGGAAATGGAAACTATGAAAAGACAGGGTCAGAATTTGGTGCCAGGATTTGTTGAAAGGATATCATATTAGATCGTGTAGATTTTAACAAAGGGCATTACTGAAGAGAAAAAGAAGCATTTCATAAGATAGAAGGCCAGTTCATCAGAAACAGTCATGAATATGTGTGTGCTTAACAACTGCGCTTCAAATGACATGAAACAAAAATTGACAAAAGGACATATCTACAAATAGGAGATTTTAACAATTTCTTTCAGCACCTAATAGAATTAAAAAAGAAAAATCAGTAAAGAAATTGAAGATCTGAACATTATCAACCACCTTGACATAACTAATTTATAAATGGAGCAGTACCCCTTAAAACTGCGTGTACATTCTCTTCAAGTGCATATGGCACTTCACCAAGATAGAACATACTGGGTCTTAAAACAAGTCTTAAATATAAAAAAAAATTCGAATCATGCATTCTCTTCTCTGACCACTACAGAATTAAAACTGTAACAACCAGATAACCAGATAAATCCAAATGTTGGGAAATTAAATAACATTCTTCTAAATAAATCATGGGTCAATGAAGAAATCACAAGGGAAATTTGAGCATAACTTGAACTGAATGATAATGAGAATGTAGTATATCAAATCTCAAGATACTACCTACCGCTCAACCACAAGAATGGTTAAAAAGGTTGATGACATCAAATTTGGGCATAAATAGAGATCAATCAGACTCTTATTGTAGGTAAGAGTATAAAATGATGCAACCCTTTTGGAAAAGACTTGGTAGTTTGTTATAAAACTAAGTAGACACCACCCTATTAACCTCATAATTCCAAATTTAAGTATTTGCTGAAGATATATGAAAATATATTCATGTAGGGATGCCTAGGTGGCTCAGCGGTTGAGCATCTGCCTTTGGCTCAGGGCCTGATCCGAGATTCCCAGGATCGAGTCCCGCATCGGGCTCCCTGCATGGAATCTGCTTCTCCTCCCTCTGCCTATGTCTCTGCCTCTCTCTCTCTCATGAATAAATAAATAAGATATTTTTTTAAAGAAAGAAAATATATTCACCTAAAAACGTATACAAGAATATAGCAGGTTTATTTTTAGTAGTCAAAAAAAAAAAAAAAACAAAAGTGATTCAGGGACCCATCAAAAGAAAAATAGATAGGATGATGTGTACGTGTGTTGAATTACTATACTGTAAACCCGAAACTAATCTAACACTGTAAGTTAACTAGACTTAAAAACTTTAAAAGGGGGGATCCCTGGGTGGCGCAGTGGTTTGGCGCCTGCCTTTGGCCCAGAGCGCGATCCTGGAGACCTGGGATCGAATCCCACATCGGGCTCCCGGTGCATGGAGCCTGCTTCTCCCTCTGCCTGTGTCTCTGCCTCTCTCTCTCTCTCTCTGTCTCTCTCTATCATAAATAAAAAAAATTAAAAAAAAGAAAGAAAGGGAGGGTGTACAGCAAAAAAAAAAACTTTAAAAGGAAAATGAGAATGGTTAAACAAAAAATATATTTCTACATTTAAATACTACTACTCAAGAGAGAAAAGATAGGTATATGCAACAATACTGAACAACAAAAACAAGTCTAGTGAAAGACATCTCTGAGAAAGAGTGCTTACTTTACAATTCTGTGTTTAAGAAGTTCTAGGCAAGGTAAAATTAATGTATGGTGAAAACAGTGTTTGGAAGTAGGGGTTGAGAAGGATAAGGAAATTCGGGTGAAAAATTACAACTGGACAAGGGTTAGGGTTACACAACGTCTTAGTTGAGACTGCCTAACAGAATACCATAGACTGGATGGCTTAAACCATAAACATTTATTTCTCACAGTTCTGGAGGATAGAAGTCCCGGATCAGGGTGCCAGCATGGTCAGGTTCCTGGGAAAGGGCCTCTTTCTTCCTTAGAGACGTTTGTCCTCTCTTTGTGCTAGTCCTTCCCCTTACGAGGGTACTAATGCCATCATTGAGCGTCACCCTCATTACCTAATTACTTCCCAAAGGCCCCACCTCCATCACAGTAGTATTTCAACAAGTGAATGTGTTTGGGGAAATCAAACATTCAGCCCGTAGTGCAAGTGTGTGCATTTCTCACAGCTCATCAAATAGTACTCTTAGGGTCTCTGCATTTTACTTTATATAAAATTTGCCTCAAAAACTAAAGCACTATAAACAAATACTGAACCCTAGTTAAAAAGGAGTGAAGAATACAATTATCTGCAATTTAATTAGTTAAAAAGGTGGATTCATGGTTTGATAGAGGATAGGTAAGTGATAAAGCAAATACAGCCAAGTGTTAATTGTAGACTCTTGTGGTCGTGTGGGTATTCACTGAACAATTTTTATGTATGAAATTTTTGTAATATGGGGGAAAATGTATAACCAGATCACTAAATCAAGTTTTTAAAACTTTGTTCTGACAAATAGTGATGAATATAAATTGAAAGTATATGCACTAGAAAATTTAAATTGTCCCTTAATTTAAAAATTTCAGTGAAATATTAATGGTGTCATTTGAGATAAGCTGAATTAATGCTCCATTTAGATTCCCGAATCTCTGCCTGAAGGAAGAAAAAGTTAAAAGCCCCGTGTACATAGAGAATTTTTTAAAACATCACGTTGAAGTAATAAAGCTTCTGGTTGGGTTAATGAATATTTTACCC